CATGTAGGGGAGGCTTGGCTCGTCTCTGGATCAGACGCGGCGCTCCTTTCCAGGTTCCCGCCATTATAAAAAATTCTAATATTTTTTTCAGCCTTAGACGAAACGGAATATGAGATGGTATAAAACTTTAAGTGTTATCTGTTATTGCATATTCTAAAACATAGTGACCAATAGGAATTGAATGGATCTGAAAATAATAAAGGTATGAGCCGAACATGCACGTGCGCTTATGCCAATTGTGAGCAGAAGAAATCCCGCATATGTCATTTATTTACTCTGCATTATGCAAAAGTACTTTATAAATGTACTGCAGCTGACAAATGCTAACTATGTATAAAACAAATAAAAAAATAATAAAATGATAATAATAACTTTTGTTATCATTATTATTATTATAACCATCATTACTATTACTATCATCAATCATTATCATCATTATGTAAAAATAGTAATATAAATAAGATTGGATAACAAAATGAAAGGCAGTTAAAGCAATAAGATTCGATAACAAAATGAAAGGCAGTAAAAGCAATGATAAGAAAAAGAAGTTTAATAACATTGATGATAATAATAGTAGTGGTAATGGTGACTGGCATGGTATTTTCCTTGAAAATCTACAAAGGGAAATGCTATGTCTGTATCAATCAAAGTTTTGTTTAACATTTCATTTCATTATTTCGACATTGCTTCTCTTACTTGGATTAATTATTAATTTTTTTCTCACTCTATTTCTATTCCCCTCTCCTTTTATTCTTATATTTCCTTTCACTCCCCTTCTCTGTGTATAATTATGACAACCAAACACTAACTGAAGTGTTCATCTAGCCAAACAGGATACTGAGAAATAGACTGGTAACCAAAGAGGGATATTATCTCTTACACAGACACACACACAAAGAAAAAAAATCAGTATAGTCTTCAAGTATATATCCACACTTCGAGGGAATGCTGTTCAGAAAGGCTTATTAGACATTTTATGATCACCTAATACCTAGATTAGTTGACCAGGTTGCACAAGTCAATAAACAAAGTGCCAAAAATATATGGTTTCTAGGAGTCCTTTGCTAGTATGCCAAGAGTTACATAGAGAGCAACTGCTGGATATTGATAAGGGAAAGAGTAAATGGAGGACAGCCCATGGGGGCTACACTTGGGTGCTAGGGAAAAGAAACTTCAGATGAAGTATAACCAAGTGAAATATAGAATTAATTCCCCAACCCTATATTGCAAAAATGTCCCACTTATCATTATCAACTCCTTCTCACATGATATATGAATCTCACACAAATGTTGAGGCATTTGGGTTTTACTGTGTCATCCTCATGAGTCTCGCTATTGCAGTAATTTTCAACTAGTTCCTGGACTGATTTTTTTCTGGCAATATATGTGTATTATCCAGTACTTCGTGAATGCTCTTGGTTGCATGAAAGTCTGTGAGTGGCACGTGAAATTTCACAAATATATTCATTGGCAACTAATATCAGCCGTTAAAACTATGTTAAAAAGTTTGGAAA